CAGTAACTACAATAATCTTCCTTTCCTGATCCACAGAGAGTCCATACTTGGAGAACTGTTACCAGTCTGGAAGCCCCATCTCCAAAAAGATAGTGACCTGGTTTGCACAACAAAGTACAGCTCCTTGTGGTTTATTTAACCCATGCTACGCCACACTGCCTGCAGGGACCACTCTGCATGTCCAAATCCTGCTTGGGAGTTGCTGTGTTGTATGAACCTCGCGAACTTGGGTTATGTGAAGGTAAAACAACCCTTGCATAGTCCATGGCCTGTTCTAAGGATTGTTTAACCCATGTTTGCCAGGTTTGCACAAGACAACCAAAAGGGATTTGGATCTGTAAAATGGCACCACAGCAGAAAAGCAGACTGGTTCTGCTTTACTCAGAGGTGCTCAGGAAAAGAAATAAGATGGGTGTCACCCACCACTCAGGAGGGCCGTGCCAGCCATCTTCCTGCCCCAGCAGGCTCCCAGCAGCAGGAGGGTGTGTCACCCTCTCGGTTGTGGATTCCCTGTGCCTCATGGAAGGGTTACCCCTGCTGTTTATATAACTTCCGGCCTCCCTGGAGTTCCAATCTGTCCTTCTAGAGTTCTCCAGATGGCCTTACCCTTCTCTTTGCCCTGCCTCACACCCTGTCCTCAGACCAACCAACCATTTGCAAAGTTTCCCAGCTTTTTCATGCCTCCCATTTAAAAAGATCCAAATGCTTCTCCTGAGGACTAATTAGTGGAAGTAAGACCTTGTGCTAAAATATTCTTTTTTAACGTCGTGTCTCTGCCTCCTTTTGCCCCCCCTCCACCCTGGGAGCCATCCCCCCCTCCAGACTGAAAGAAGCTCGGCAGCCCTGATGTGAACAGCAGCACGATGTTTTGATATAGCCAGCTTTGGAAGAACATGAACCACCTTATGCTGCACTGGAGAACACTGCATAGATAATTAAATATGGACTCGCTTTTGCAAAAATCAACAGGTCAAATATATCAGTCTCACCCCATTGGATTTATACACATGTAGAAAATGCTTGGAGCTCTGCCAGATGAATGTTATGAAGCTCAGAGGTGGGAACAACTCAGCACATACGAGGAAAGGGTGGCACAGAACTTCCCCCAGCATCAGTGTGAACCTCCAAGTCCTCAATAACTTTTTCCAGTGTCCATTTGCAAGCACTGATGTGATGACATTTTACTTTGCATCAACATTAAGGAAGTAAAAACCACGACTGTTTCATGTTAACTTGCTCACCTTCTATTTTACTGGCTACTATGAGAACAAAAAGAGAGGACATATATTTTAAGAATAAATAAATAAAACTTTGGAGAGATTACTGTCAAACATTCATTTCTGTTGATTTGTTCTTAATTAAAAACTTAAGAAGTCCTGATAAAGCTTTAATTCAAGAAATCCAGTGTAGACAGACTGAGAGAGGGGTATAGCTGATAAACAAATTGCTGCCCTCCCCATAAAAGATTGCTGTAATTAAATATTCTTAGCTTTTTTCAGGTGAAGACTAGAATACTGTTAAGGGTGCAGTCCTACAGATGGGTTCTCCCGGCTTGGAAACTCGGAGGCATTCAGGATTCCTGTGGGAAGAGCAGTGGAGGCAACCTTTGTCTCCATGGCCTATGATCTTTTACATTTTTACTGGTGAGACTCTCAACCTGCCTTGAAAAGGTACTTTGGAGGAGGACAGAAAGAGGGCTAGAAAAGGCACAGCATAGATCATGTCCCAGCCTATTCTGCCTCCTCTTTGTACCATCCATGGGGACACTGCCCTTTCCCTGCCTCAGAGATCGTGTTTCTGACCTTGGAGAGGCAGTTCTCTTCTCCGCCCACAAGGGGCCAAGCTCATCTCTCCGACTCCCCTTTCCAAGGCCCTCCTGCTGGCTCTGACCTTGGAAGGGGATTTCCACATCACGCCACAGTTCCAGGAATGCTCAGCTAGGGATCACAGGCTTGTTCTCAAAGGATGCGTTTGTATATTAGAGGCAGGCGTGTAGGTTACGAAAGAGGTGTCAAAGCACAGGCTGGGTTGGTGTCCTCATCTGGCACACATGGTTCTTCTGGATATGCCACTCCTTTTGCCTTCTACACATAGAATGGAGGGAAGGCATCTTGTGGTTTGCCCAGGCAGCCAAATGTTATGAGCTAGTTCCATGCAGAGAAGGGGCCAAAAGGCCAAAATTGAACGCATCATACTTGCTGTTAAAAAGTGTCTGAGCTCCGTCCTTGTTTTGCTGTCCCAATGGCCAAGCTGCCCAGCAACCCATTGCAGTTACTCAAGATTTTACACTAAGCTTCCAAGATGTCATCCAGGGAGAGGAACTGGATGCAGGTACAAGAAACAAGGGAATGACCGTGGACTCTTGGAAAGGGTTTAAAGGGTTGGTACTTCTCTCAGCCTGGCTCTCCAGAGAGCTGGCACAGCTTGCAGGACTGCAGAAGCAAGCAAAGTGCAGGCTGGACGGAAGACAGCAGCCTACGCAGCATATGGGACCATTGCAGGGATGGTTCCCTTACCAAAGGGGATGGTAACTGGAACATGATCAAAGTTAGGCTTTTCAATCCTCTTCCAAAACAACAGAACTTGGCTGTTGCTTGGGGAATGTACGCAGCATTTCCAAGAAGCACTTGATACAAGTGCCTGATATTTTTTAAACAAAAGCTGTCATTCCTGCATGTCAACAAATAAATAAATAAATAAGCACCAAAAAGACACACTACTAATTCCAAATGAATTAACTGCTGCAGGTATGCGCTTGTTTACACTTGTGGGAATGAAGGGCAGAAATGATTTCTCTGGGATTTTTTCCATCATTTTCTTGTTACTACTTATCATTTATTATTTGGCTATCAAGTGTTTAAAAAATCATACTCAGCTAGTCAAGTGTTAGACTTGTCATCTCTTAATTTATCAACCCTCCATAAATTAGCAAAAAGATAATCACTCTTGGGGCACAATCCTAGACATGTTTCAATTGAAAAGAAGGCCCACAGCTGTTTGCATGCTCCAGCCAGTTTTGAGATTTAGGACTTGCATAGAATTGCACCTTCAATTCATCAACCCTGTATAAACTTTCATAAGAAAGAACAGTTCTAAAGAAGAAAAGTGTGGTGTGCTTTTAGATAATTTATTTATTTTTATTTATTTTTCAATTTATATCCTGCCTTTTCCTACAAAGGTCTCAAGGCAGCTTACATCATTCTCCTCCTCCATCTTATCCCCACAACAACAACCCTGTGAGGTAGGTTGGGCTGAGAGTCTGTGACTGGCCCAAAGTCACCCAGTTGGCTCCATGGCTGAGCGGGGACTCGAACCCAGATCTCCTGAGTCCCAGTCCCACACTCTTCACCACTACACCACACTGGCTCTTCCTCTCCCTCTCTCATACACCCCCCCTCTCAAGGGAACATTATTTTAGTGGTCATCTGAACTGTTTTGATGCATGCTTATTAATTTTTAAAAATAAGAATAAAACCTGCTGACTAGTTAATTGGGCATTCCTCTTTAGTCAATTGAAATATGATCAATTAATCTTATTGATTATATATATCAACTAACAGTACATGTATCTACTCAGAAGCAAGTCCCATTGACAACTCCCAGAAAAGTAGGTATAGTTATTTGTAATGTTTTTATTTGTTTCTTTTTTATCCTCAACAACAACCCCTGAAAACTGTTTAAGTTGGTCAAAACCATAATGGATTGTGAGAAGCTCCAAAGGAATCTCCCCAAGCTGGGAGAATGAGCATCAAAATGGCAAATGCAGTTCACTATAATTAAGTGCAACATAAAACATATTGGGGTAAAAAGTCTCAACTACAAGTGTACACTGATGGGATCTGAACTGGCAGTGGCTGTGCAAGAAAGGGACCCTGCAGTAGCAGTGGGCAGCTACTATGGAATGAAAATGCCAGCCTAGTGCACAGCTGCTGTGAAGAAGGAAAAGTCCCCTTTAGAACAGAACAGAAAGCAGAACTGCCCAGATCTTACTCCTATTCTACTAATCCTTGGTATGACCACACTTAGAATATTGTGTCCAGTTCTGGTTGCCTCACCTGAACAAATGCATTATTGAACTGGAAAAAGTGCAGAGAAGGGCAATGAAAATGATCAGGTGGTTGGAGTGGCTGCACCCACTGGGTCTGTTCAGCTTAGAAGACGAATAAGGGGATACATGATAGAGATGTTTAAAATTATGCACAGAGTAAACAAAATGGTGAAGGAGACATTTTTTTCGCTCTCCCAAAACTCCAGAACCCGGAGGCACCCCATGAAGCTGACCGGGGGAGGGGGGGGAGATTAGGACAGACAAGAAAAGTACAGTACTTCTTCACACAAGCAATAGCTGAACTATGAAATTCGCTGCTGTGGAAAGGAATGATTGGCATCGGTCTGAATGGTTGTAGAAAGGAGTTGAAGGGTCATAGAAGAGTCACTCAGTGGCTACTGGCCTACCTCCTTCAGCAGAGGTAGCAAGCCTGCAGACACCGGTTGCTGGGGAGCTTGGGCAGGTGCAGGTCTTGCACGCATCCTGCTTGAGGGATCCTGCGGGCACCTGGTTGCCACCATGTGTATGGAGAGCTGGACTAGATGGACCTTGGTCTGATGCAGCATGGTTCTTATGCCAGTTACTGGCCCCAAATCATGCAGGGAACTTCATGGCGGAACCATGTCCCGGGAGCCTAGTTCAGCCTTCGCACCACTGCCGGGGCCAACGCATCCGGAAGGCTCCGGGCTGGGAAAGGCTGAGCTCCGGAGATGGGGGCTCAAAGGCGGCCAAAGGCATTGCTTTACCTGGCAGGCGGGCGGGCGGGCAGGCCGGCATCTCCTTTTCCTCCTCCTCCTCCTCCTCGGGCCATGCGTGCGCCTGGCGAAAGGGGAGGACCAGCAACTAGGGGGAGCTCCTCTGAGCTGCCGCATCTGCCGCCTGCGTGCGTGCCCGGGTTGGTTGCCTTTCATAGGCTTCTGCCGAAGAGTCCCTCCTCCCTCCCACCCACCTTCCCCCCGTGATGGCGGAGGACAGCGAGTCTGCAGCCAGCCAGCAGAGCCTCGAGCTGGACGACCAGGACACCTGCGGCATCGACGGCGACAATGAGGAGGAGACGGAGCACTCCAAGGGGTAAGGGCACAGCCGAAGCAGCGCAGCAGGCATGCCAGGCGCCGCCGCCGCCGCCACGGCTCACGCAGGCGGCGGCGGCGGCGCGTTGCTGGAGCTCGGGGTCGGCCTGGCCGGGGAGAGCCCGTGGGCAGCCCGCTCCGCGCTCGGAGCCGGTCCCTGCGGCACTGGCGGCGTGCCGCCCGCCTTGCTGGCCTGGCGGCGGCGGCGGCAGCGGCGAGGCGGAAGGGAATGGAGGGCGCAAAGGCCACGCGGGTGCAAGAAGCAGCCTGCGCCCTGCTGGGGCTTTTGTGCTAGGTGGGAAGGGAGGGAGCCGCTCCCCTTTGCGTCTTTTGCGAGCGAGGAAAAGGCGGGCGGGGTGGGGAGCGGCGGCTGGGTCGTTAGCCAAGATGCTGCCGGGTGGCCACCCTGCTTTGCCACGGAGGAGACAGCGGCCCGGCGGCCCGCAGGCTCCGTGCGTGTCGTGTACCTCTGGCGGCTGGCTCTGCGCCTTCCCCAGGGGCCAGCACCTCTCTCGCCGTGCCCGGCCTTTGCTGCTTGCTGCGGCTGGCGAGCGTGGGGAGATGTATGGGGAGGTTTCTCTGCCTGACCCCCTTTCTTCTGGCGCTTTCTCTCTCCCCTCCCCCCGGCATGTTTCCTTTGTGGTCATCGACCATTTTTGCCGCCCACTTCAGTACCGCTTCGAAGTGGATGTTCAACACCACTTTAATGTAGATTAAGTTCCGCTCTTAACGCTCTTCTGACCACAGCCTGGAGTGGCACAAGGGTTTTAACCCTCTCCTTTCCCTCCCTCCCTCTCTCTTCCGTGTGTACTTAAGGGGGGGGGGGTTCCGGTCCACCACGGTGATTGGGAGTAGGGAACCAGAGGGGCACTGGGAGTTGCTTCAGATTCGCTGAACCAGGATATCCAGGACTTTGGGGATAACAGCGTGTGATCGAGTGTGCACCATTGTGTAGGTTGCAGTTGCTTGTGTCTTTCTTGCAGGTGAATGAAGGACCTGTATAATGAATGAATGAATAGACATCCGGTTGAGGTGTGAACATGATATGAAGGGGTTGTTAGTGCCACGGATCAAAACCTCAAACTGGTTTTGAATGCAGAAGTTCTGCACTAGTTTAGCCAATGATGGTAATAATAAAGCAAGGTACCATAAGCACGCACAGTGTTTCTTATTTACACCACTGGTGACCACAGCCAGCCTTACTACAGATGAAAGGGACTCGGGTGCAGAAGTTGTAAATCAGATGGTTTGGCTTTCAGGGATACTTTAGTAGGCCGCTTTTCTAAAACGTAATTCCTGCAGATGCATACAAATAAGAGAGTTGAGCATCAAGTTAGGGTCTGAATTTAGTCAGCAGACTGGCTGAAAGCATTAGGAGTTAGGTTAGTCTTGACTAAGCAGTCTCATTTAGCTAAGGAGTCTATTCTAATCTGGATCCAAACCACTGATAAGAAACCAGTGGTTTCCCCACATTGACAGCTCTCTAGAAACTAAGGGATATGAATGTGCGTTAGCACATTAGATATGAATGTAACCGAGTAAGCTGTATTCATATGATCCTGTGCAGACTGTCATGATTTGCTAGGAAGACTTTGGTGTGGTGCTATCAGGAAAGGATTTGGAGGCAGAAGTCCAAAATCCTAATTAGCAGAATGAGCAGGAGGGCATCCGAATGCAGGAGCAGGGGGCTTATTGCCTTTTGAAGAAACGACTGTTACCATCTAAGGTGAGGAGGGATGTAAAACCAGATTCTACTGCGCCCTAACTGTACCACAGAAATTTAGATGCTTAGATGTCATTACTGCACCAAAACGAGAGCGTACAGCATAGATACCTCAACCGGGTCAGTCCGTTGGTCCAACTAATGCAGTTGTCAGAAATGAGTGGCTGCACGGTTTCAGACTTGAGTCTTCCCCACCGTTACGTGGAGATGCTAAGGACTGAACATGGGAACTTTTGGATTTGAAGCATATCCTCTACCACTAAGCTGTGGCTCTTTCACATACCAGGTTGTGTTCTGTGTGAATGATAGTAAAACTGTACAGGGAACACCAAAGCAAATAGCTTTAATAACATTCTTCTTCACTGGGCAACTACAAAAAAGGTATTCACAGTCTCGCAATTTACTCCTCGCTTTAAGAAAGGGCCAGTCTTTATGATATTTTTCCCCTTGTAAATGAGAAAAAATGCTGGTTTCTCATCTCCCTTTTATTTCTTAAAGAAACATCTAGTCTGTGAAAGAGATGTGTTTAGATGTTTCTAATCCTGAGTATTTTTCTAAAATTACAGGCAAGTGTCACTAATAATCTGAAGGAACAGAAAACAATTTTTGCTCAGCAATGATAAAATATCGTTTTCAAGGGAATAAATATGTTTTGCAAAGTAAAACAATTAAGTGGAGGCTACAAAGAACATGCTGGATAGTATGGTGAATCCGTCTTGGTCCTTGGGGAATGTGCAGCCCTGCGCGCCCCCCCCCCCCCCCCCAGTGTGGCTCACATTTGCAGCAGTGGCGAAAAAACTCTGTGGCAAACTGCTACAGAAGGATAAAAGAGACACATGGGGTTTGTTCCAAGCTAAATTTGACTATTTTAACTTTTTTATATAGTGATTTGTTAATGGACATTGTCAGCAAATTTCTTCTTTTTGCCACCACTGAATTCAGCAGACATGCAGCTCACTAAAGGAACCCAGGGAGCAACAGTGCTGCATGGACATTGTCGCCAGAGTTGTCTGTCCCTGATGTAAGGCAAAACTGGACTTTGCATGGAGTATAGGCTCCCTAGCTAGTATAACTGGGTGATGCATGGCTTTGGCAGTTTCATATTTACACCGAAAATATCTGTGGTTTACCTGCAAACAAGCTCATGTGAGGAAACCATCTTTTGCAAATGCAATTGTAATATCAATTCGGAACAGTTTCTTCTCAGTAACCTTCCCCACTCAGTGTGTTTCGCACCCCGCCCCCTGCCACCAATCAAGTGCGTCTTTCTATAGACAGAGGAGAAAACTACATGGTCTCCAAAAATCAGATGTCTTTGGTTGTGAAAACTGATGGCCTAGTATTTGAGGATTTGCCTTTATTTGGTTTGCTTCTTGATTGCACTGGTTTTATTTTCACGCCAGTTGGCAATTGCCTCATAATGTTGTTAATACTTTCATTTTTATATTGCAAAATTAGATACTGAAAAGTGGCATGGAAATATAAGTTAATGCAACAGTCCTAAACATGTTTACTGGGAAGTAAATTCTACTGAACTTGATGGATCTACTTCTGAGTAAACTTGGATAGGATTATGATGTAAATTAGATAAGTAAAAAATATAAATTAATGTTTAGGTTCCTTACTCATTTGACCAAATGTGTTTTTGACACTCAAAGATTTTTCTGAATGCTTATGAATGTAGGGCTTGCCAGTTAACCTCTGTCTACAAACACTTTGAAAGAAGTGCACTGTGTGTATTTTTTTTTTTATTAACCCTTATTAAGGGTGAATTTCAACTCCCCGTAGACTTGGGCCAGATGATTCAATTTGTACTGTGCCTGCCAACATAACAGAACTAATTAGAGGGACACAAATTTGGATACCAAGGGGAGAACTTGTACTAAATTTGGCTGTATATGAATTTTTGGCCCTTGCAGCTAACATACGGGAACACTTATGACAAAACTTCATTTGTGTTCCCAATCTGCTTGTTCCTCACATATCCATCAGTGGTTGTCCGATAAACTTTCTAAACCATTTGTGAACAAGAGCTGTTACACAAAATGCCAGCAAAGATTTTTAAGGCCATCTGAGTTCTGTAGTGAAAGGATCACCTAGATGCAAACTGTATTTGATAGATGTTCACCTGAAGAAGCATTTCCAACTTTTCTAGATGATGGTTCCAGTTCCTGGATGCCAGCCTAAATCCAACACATAATTATGTATACTTAATCTTACTTAAATCAATAACTTAAGCTTGCCTAATTCTCTGTTGGACTTAGGCCAGCTTTTTGCACTTAGCAAATATTTTATGATAACCATTCCAGACCACTTTAAGTTTAACCAGTTTTATTCTTGTCCATAACTTAGTGTTGGTCAACAAGTGTGTTCTCTTTTCTTTCTAGGCAAAGGCAGCTGTAATTTAGTGGAGGAGCACATGCTCTGACTCAGTCCCTGATAGCTTATAAGAACAGCTGTGCTGGATCAGACCAAGGACTGTGTAGCCCAGCACTCCATTCATATTGTGGCCAGCCAGCTGGCTGCAGGAAACTCACAGACAAGACATGAATGCGACAGCACCTTTCCGCTCAAGTTCCCCGAGAAGTGGTAGAAAGAGCAGCACAGGGTCTGCTTTATGTAAAAGTAAAGGGAGGTGCATGGAACAGGATCACCTGATGGGGCTAGGAAAGGGTGTCGCCTGAAAATCAACATGGGGCAGCTCTCCCCAGCCATGCTACTAGGGATGATGGGAGATGTAGTCCAGCACATTGGAAAGGCATCAGAGTGGCACAGAAAATACTGAATAAGATGTACCTTTGGTCTGTGCCAGTGAGCTGGTCCGCACCTGTCACAGAATGGTTAACCAGTTCTGTGACTAGTTAGGCATCCTTTGCATACCAGTTGTGTGCCAGTTGGAGTTACACAAGTACCCACACAAGCACAGCTTCCTGTGTCATGCAGACCTGTGGCTTTTTGGGGCAGGTAACAAATCATTCAGAACACATAGGCTGTCATTGTGTTGTGGGGTATTTTCCTACCTAGACCAACAAGCTGCTCTTGGTATGTTCACATAACGTAAGGAAACACAATAGCAAGGATAATTACACAGATCTGGCTGGCACATATAGGATGTTTAAATATGGTCTTTGGTTTACCCTGCTGTTACCATGTGAAGCAGGCCCATGTGAGGTGAACATTTCTATTTCAAAGTAATCATGTCCTGTTCCTTCCCTTTACTATTCCGTTAAGAACAACCTGCCATATTTTTCCCTTCTTGCAGCTTTTCAAACTCTTTG